TTCCAAATGGTGGTTTCCCTTGCCGTAAGGAAATAACTTTTCCCCTGCTTTGTTGAGTACAAGTGATTAGCTCTGATATGATTTCTCGCATTATCGTTGAGTGTATAACCATCTATCCAACTCCCTGTTGATCCTGACATTTCGCAACAACGCTCTCATCAGCTTAAATTGTGTCTTGTAACTTATCACAATTTCCGCTGTTAAATTTCGAGCAAACTGAAACAAATCCCTTGAATTTAACTGTTTTTACTCTCCATCGTGAATTTTGGAGAAATGTTGATATCCACGCACCCCGGCCCATTCACTGTAGGAAGTATCATTATTATAATTTTCGTCCACAACGTCATCTAGAGGGTAAATCCAGCCAATGAAATTAAAAAGAAATGCTAAAAGGGGTCAAGGATGAAATACAAAATCAGCAATTGGCAATTAACTATTTTTACTCTCCGTCGTGAATTTTGGAAGACTGTGGACATCCACGCGCCCCATTCACTGGTTCGAGTACCACCCTGACCAGTACTGGATTTGTTTCACGGTAGCTCCGAGTTCAAATCCTCGGCCATGCTTGTAAATAGCCAGCTTGTTTGCCTCCGGCCAGTTGGGATTCTTAATTAACAATGTTAATTAACAATGAGGATTAAGTTCCTCCCTTCTATAACCCTTTTTTTAATAATAATATGTTACATGTTATTATTTAAATAAAGTTGTTATATATAATTTGAATTATTTGTTTATAGCCCACAATGTAAACTACTGGGTTACCAGTAATTTTGTTAGCTATTAAAGTTTATTTAATTAATTTATTTATTTATTTGCTGAAGTAAAGGTAATATAATTTTCATCTATAACGTCATCTAGAGGGTAAATCCAGCCAATGAAAAGCCAAAACAAAAAGGACAAGACAAAAGGGATCAAGGATGAAATACAAAATCCGCAATTAGCATTGTGGAAATGATTGCTTTCGCCAACAAGGTCATCTAGAGGGTAAATCTAGCCAATGAAATTAAAGGAAAAACCATTAGGAGTCCAGCGATAAAATTTATGCATCGTGGTCCAACGCAACAGATTGCTTACCGACTCAAAAAAGAAAACTAAAAAGAAACGAGGAGTCGTCGTGATGAGTTTCGTTTCTCCAGCTTTTCCATGTTTGACACGGCCTGACGCCCTGACTCGTCAGGTAGTTGATGAGTTTGAGCCATGATATGTTCGACAATAGAAGATGTCACCTGAATATATGTGGCATGTTCGCGTGCCGCCTCGTGACATGGGTTGCTCAAGCTCAGGCCGCCTAGGCGCACGGGTAGTGCAAGAACGTCTCTATCCAGTTTGCTACACTTGCACCCTACGATTACTGGCATAAGGACCTGGGAAATAGCCTCNCATCCCACCATTGCTTGATTTCTGAGATAGTGCCAGCTCCACAAGCATCATCTGCGAACCAGCATTGCTTTGCATCTGACATGGCCTGTAGACTTGTTATCAAGGGCTGGGTGCTGAGGGCATATATTGCCATAGCAAGTGGGTCGCCTTGAGTTGTTCCCTCGACTGATGTTATCTCTTTACCACCGGTGATAAATAACCGGGCTGAATGGCGATAGGTGTTTATGGCGTAGACTGCAATTACAGGACAAAGAACGCGGATATTGTGTAGAGCCGCTGCCCTATTAAGGGCATTAAATGCATTAGACGCATCTATCAGCAGGACCGCGTCGGTATCATCTGCTTCGAAGATTCTATGCATAGCGTGTATTGCAGCCTCGCTCCCTGATTTCTGCCCCGCGCACAATTGTAACGAGCCACTTGCCTCAACAACGTCCCTCTTGGCTATGTTCATGACGCATTTCCCGCATATTCTCCTGATCACTTCTCCAACTCCTATTGGCCTCACAGCACCCTCTCCCTTATCTAGAGGGATGAGGCGACTCGCTAATAATGGCTCTATGGTCGAAGGATCTATGTAATGAGTACATAGAGTCTTTGCCATTGTAGCTATCGCCTCACACAGCTTCTTCGATGACTGTTTGAACGATTTACAAGCCAGCATTCGTCTGAAGCCGTTTGCGTCAACACCACAGGGACCCCAGAACCTTTTGTTCTTAAAGCAGCTTGTCTGACCGTTTCACCGTTGATCCCAGAGTAAACTGATTCAGGAAACTCGTCATCAATCGGCCCAAACAGGAGTGAGCCCAATTTGGCTGGTTGAGGATTGGGGTGTTTTTGCTGTAGTTGCGCCATAACTTCATCGGTCAGCGGTAATACACCACCACTAGTACTTTCGCTCAGGAAGCGAAGTGCTGAATTTATCTGACCCTCGAGCACGAGTTTGGTGAACACTTTCGATTTATCAGGTGGATCTGTAGATCTGAGTTTGCCTATCCGACTTTGAATAATCCGACCTTCGCGTAGCAACTTGTTGATTTCCCCGTCTTTCCACTGTACAAGACGTTTTGACAACAGCTCCTGGTACTCTTTGGCTTTGGACTTGGGACCAGGCTTCTGAACTAGGCCTACTGCAAGGAGCACAAAGGCAGCTTTCAGAGCTATGTGTTGACAGTTATCACCGTTATTCCAGTCATTAATATGCGACGTAACTTGATCTAATGAAGTCTCTCCCTGCGTTACCATAGGGGACGAGAAAAACATTTTTTTTCCAGGTCGCAATCTCATTATAGGCCTCTGTTATGACTGAAGTCTGCAAAACAATCTCGCTGCCGTCTGTCCTCTTACCCCACTTTATGTTTTCTGGTTTGCAGACACTAAAGTGGTCAGGAATGAAACCGAGTGTCAGAAAATTGTCTTCGCTCTTTATTGTCTGGTTTGGTTGTTCCGTTTGTTCAGGGCTATCTCCTGGGATCTGTTGCAAAGTAGTAGTCGTATGCAAATCTTGACTCTCTGTAGCAAAATTAGCATAACGTGAGTCAATTTGGCTGGCCTCTTCAAAATTAAAATTTTGACCTCCATATCTTTGATTTCTTGGCTCGAATTCTTGTTTAGAAATCACATCTATGGCTTTCAAGTCTTCTCGTTTTCGGTCACAGCCCAAAACTCCATCATCTGTAACCTTCCCCGCGGAACTGTGTTCCATTTTCCCAAGCCTTGACGCTTGGTCTCGTAAATTATTCTTATTCTTATTCTTATTCTTTAGTATTGTTTGTGTCATACAAGTGAATTCCTAATATTGGCCAAAGCCAGAGGCTTAAATAGCTTATGGTCAGAGACAAAGACTCATTTTTCAAAGAACAATAGACTAATCTAAGGTATTCTAATCTAATCTAATGTAATCAAATCTAGGTAATAAACAATAATCGGGTTATATTAGAAGCTCAGTATAATGTTCACAAATTTACAAAGAGCAGTAGATTAATCTAAGTAGTTAACAATAGTCCGGGTATATCAGAGGTTCAGTATAATATTCAATTTTGGTAACTGAAAATTTAATTCAGGTTCAAGAAGTACAGGCTCTTTGCAGGACTCAATTACGTGCTTGGATACCACATAGCAACGTATTGCTGGCGAACAAGCAAACCAGCGTCCCGTTCATCATGGCGGTCAACTCAAGCGAAACGAACTTTGACTTTTTGGTCGAAAACATCCCAAACGTATTTTCTATTTCCAACGACGATTAATCTTCGAAGATTACCTCTGTTCCGTTTTAAAATGTCACGGAAAGTCAAATTGTAAGTGAATGCAAATATGTGTTTTGGAGTTGTCAGTCTGCTTGTTTGTTTTCTGTAATGACGTGTGTAAATCGGTTTTTTTTCCACCGAAAAGCTGAAGTCAATGAGACTCTTTTTACCTAGATACAAGGAGATTTAATACGACTTTCATTCATCGAATTCTTGCGTTTCTGCTGTGAAATTTACAACGAAAGTGTATTTTAAGACTTTGAACTGTTGCTGCATAAAATTATTTCTTTGTTAGCCTAAACTTATAAAATCGTTTGTATCTGGTGCATGTCAAACCCATTTGTAGCTTAAAGGTCAAACAGGGATTGTCACTCACTAAACTGGCACGCAATCAAGTCTTGTGATCGCCTTCGTATGAAATTTTTTTTTTTTTTTTTTGTTGTTGTTAATGAGTCCGCGTTTTACTAGTCGGCGTTTTACTAGTCGGCGTTTTACTAGTCCGCGTTGTACTAGTCAGCGTTTTACTAGTTCACGTTTTACTAGTCCGCGTTTTACTAGTCCGCGTTTTACTAGTCCACGTTTTACTAGTCCGCGTTCTACCAGTCCGCGTTCCACTAGTCCGCGTCCTGCTAGTCCTCGTTTTACAAGTCCTCGTTTTACTAGTCCTCGTTTTACTAGTCTACGTTTTACTAGTCCGCGCTTTACTAGTCCTCGTTTTACTAGTCCAGTCCAGTCCAGTCCAGTCTACGAAATACCATATGCCAAACAATGGAAGATTGTGAACAAAATCGAATTTATGGATCAGTTGTTTTATGGTGTATTGTATAAATAAATAATTTCAATCGTGTACAAAAGATTTTCTTTCGTGACATCTTTCATTCAAGATATTCAGTTTCCTTCAAACTTTGTGAGAATTTCTCAGAAATACGTCATTTATTTCGGGTAACGTGGACCTGCCGGGGTGACTGGACTAGTAAAACTGAGTGGCGTTTAAGTCCTGTATTTCGAAATATCATTTAATATGAACAAGCAGACAATGAACGTTACGCACGAGTTCGGAGAGCTGAACAAAGATTTTAATCATGTGCCTTTCATGACAACATAAACTGATTGGTAAATTACTGGCGGGCCGTCTGTAATTTCACTGCTTCAACAAGAGACTGAACAATTTCCTTAACAACATAGCAAATAAAATGCTATACAGCTCAGAAAATGTCAAAGCAAAAATATAAATTAATAAAAATCATGGACAAAGAGATGGAGGGTAGTTAGAGAATGCTCCTAATCCTAAATATGCTAAAATAGGAAATGTTCAAAAC